CAAGAGAAAGGAAGGGAGGGAGCAAAAAACGGAAGGGAGGGAGGGAGGGGTGAGTCCATCTGCCCAACTAAACCGCAGCTCCATGCACGTAACTCTGGGCAACCCCTGGACTGTTCCTCTGCTCTTCCAGGACGTGCCCGAGCATCGCAGCCTGGAGTATCCAAAACTGTACGAGCCGGGGCAGCTGAACCTCCTTTTCAACAAGCGCGAGTTTTTCATCTGCATCGCGCAAGGCATCTACACCTCCATCTTCATGTTCTTCATCCCGTACGGGGTCTTCAGCGACAACGCCCACCTGGCCGACTACCAGTCCTTTGCTGTTACGGTGGCCACTTCCCTGGTCATCGTGGTCAGCGTGCAGGTACGTTGTATCCCGCCCTTCCCTGTCCTCAAATTCCCAACGCTGATGGCTTCCCGTCGGCGCGTGCACGGCTCTCCCCCTTGGGGATGGGGGAGAGTGTCTCAGTGCCTCGCACAGATTCAGTCACGCCTGAGACCTTGAGGATGCCCACGCCGTGCCCGTTGGTGTTCAAAGATCCGAGTGCCCGCTCCTGGGGGCAAATGCCCAACCCCATTTTTTTGGAAATGCGGAGGATTTGGGAGTGCTGGGCACACCTGTGCAGGTTGTACAAAGGATTGGCACCGGCGGCGTTTCCAAGGCTTTCTGGAATGAGCCGTAAGATGGGCTTGGGAGATCTCCTGGTGGTGACCTTTCCTCCTCCCCTCAACAGATCGGCCTGGATACTGGGTTCTGGACGGCCATCAACCACTTCTTCATCTGGGGCAGCCTGGCTGTTTATTTTGCCATCCTCTTCGTCATGCACAGCAACGGCCTCTTTCAGGTTTTCCCCAACCAGTTCCGCTTTGTCGGTGAGTCCGGAAAATGCTGCAGGCCCTTAAAATCTGGAGATTAAAATGTGCAGAAGAAACACATTTGTAGGCAGAAGCTAACATGTGGAATAATCTTACTGAGCCACGGGTGGGCAGAATTCCGGTACTTGGATTGGGGCAATGCATCCTGGGAGAATTCAACACCTGGGTTGGGGCAATGCATCCTGGGAGAATTCAACACCTGGGTTGGGGGCAATGCATCCTGGGAGAATTCTAGCACCTGGCCTGGGCCAATGCATCCTGGGAGAATTCCAATACCTGGCTTGGGGCAATGCATCCTGGGAGAATTCCAATATCTGGTCTGGAGCAATGCATCCTGGGAGAATTTTAGCACCTGGGTTGGGGGCAATGCATCCTGGGAGAATTCCAATACCTGACTGGGGCAGTTGGGAGAGTTCTGGTGCCTGGGCTGGGTCAATGCCTTCTGGGAAAATTCTCCCACCCTTGGCTGCTTTTAGAATAAGGAGTCAGGAGAATAAGGTCTCGGGGCATCCGCGGGTGGGACGTGGGCATGGTGCAAAAAAGGGGCAAGGTCTTGTTGACATGGTGGGCTCTGCCATCCTGGCTGCTTGCCCCTCCGTCCCCTCCCCGTGGAGACCCTTTGGCGCCCCCTCCCACTTCCAACCTGGGGGCTTCCTTCCCTGAACCGCTGTCCTCCTCCGCGCCAGGCAACGCCCAGAACACGCTGGCCCAGCCCGCCGTGTGGCTCACCATCGCCCTCACCACTGTGGTCTGCATCATGCCAGTCGTCGCCTTCCGCTTTCTCAAGCTGGACCTCAGACCGGAGCTCTCGGACACGGTGGGTGAAGGCCGCTTCGGTTTTCTGCGGCAAGATTCCCCACTCGGACCCGCGGCGCAGGCTTTCTCTTCCGGGCAATTTTGGCTGGCGGGGGCGAGGGGCAACGCGGGCACGTGCCTCAGGCAGCCCTTCGACCCCTGCCCTGAAAAAAATGTATCCCCCTTGCGAATGACCTCTTTTAAAATCAATTTCCCAGATAATCTGGGAGGAGATTCGGAGAGGAGGGAGCAGCGCTTTTCCCGCTGTTCCAGACGCGGCTGGATTACACCACCCATCGTTCCTAAACATTGGCTGTACTGGGGAAGATGGGACGCCAGGCCGCCTTTTCTGGAGAGAGACTCAAGTTGGGGGGGGGGTTGATCAGGCCCTTTGGGGCATATGTTCCAGGAGCCCCTCAGTTTCACGTCAGACCCATCGAGGCTCAAGCAAGAGGTTGCACAAACTCTCCAAATGACAAAAGGAGATTACAAATTCCTTGGAGGTGCCCGTGTTGCCCCCCGCCCCCGAGCCCGCAGGCATAAAATACTAGATGGCTTTTGGGGTGGGGGGGGGTTGTTTAAAAAAACGAGGTGGCAAAACAAATTGAAACGGAAGGCTTGCTTAGCTGGCTCAATCCTGAACTGGGGGGTCCCCGTAACGGTCACAGTTAGCTCATTCCAAATCCAACTGGTTGAATTAGTTTCATGAAGCCCTTTGACGTTTCCTTGCTCTGCGTTCTTCCGCAGGTGCGTTACACCCAGCTGGTCCGGAAGAAGCAGAAAACCCAGCACCGCTGCATGGGCCGG